TTGTATATTTTATTATAGTATAGAAAATATACAGTACTTATGATATAATATTAAGGACTGTCGGAATGGGTAGAGAAGCTTAAGGAAAGAGAGAGAGAGAGAGAGAGAGAGTCTGAGACTATGATAGAGACTGACTGTGAAATAGTTTGGAAATTATCCAAAAATATATTATTATTATTATTATTATTATTATTAAAGAGTCGTCGACTACTAAACACTACTACTACTACTACTACTACTGACTATTTTTTTCGTATTTTAGTTATAATCCCATACTTAAGCAAATCATTTAGTTTTTAGTTAGTAGTAGTCGTAGTAGTAGTGGATGTATGGGCTGAGTGAGCTCAGTGAGCACTGGGATGTTTGTTGTTGACTCTAAGGGATAGGGAGATTGGGAACGAGAGTCTATGTGAGAGAGAGTGCGGTTAAAACAAAATACAAATAAAAAAGTTAAGGGATTTCTATCCCATCCTAATCATCGATAGTACTGTACTGTATATAATATCACACATATTATGTGTATATATATATATATATAATCATTGTATCATTTTATATACAGTATATATCTATTCATAATAATAATAAATAAATTATTATTATTATAAATATTAAGTGTTATTTTTAAAAATATATTTCATCAATCAATCAATCAATCAATATATATATATATTAGATTTATTTTGTGTCAATTGATTTATTATTATAATAATAATAGTATTAATAGTATTTTAATTAATTTTTATGATTGTTGTTGTTGTTGTTGTGAATATCAGTGACTATAATAATAATAATTATTATTATTATTAATAAACAACAAAAAACTATTTTACTTAATAAAAAACTTTTTTAATTAAAAAAAATTTAAAAAAAAATAAATTCTGTGATTTTTTTGTGGATACAATCTATTACTATATTATTGATACAACAAAAAAATTAATTAATTAAATGTTAAATTAATTATTTAGTGTTATTGTGAACACCATCCTCATCAACACCAGCAACACATACCACTGTCCTCTACACAACATACCCAACAATACCCAGCAACACATCCCACTGTCCACTGACAACACCATCAACACATCCCACTGTCCACTGACAACACCATCAACACATCCCACTGTCCACTGACAACACCATCAACACATCCCACTGTCCTCTACACAACATACCCAGCAAAACATCCCTGTCCTCTACACCACCAACAATAAAGTGATGGCTAGTTTGCGTTCATGGTTTTCCATACTTCGTTGGTCACTAATCCTAACGCTAATCCTATTGATTATCCTATCGATAGTACCCCTGATATGGCCCCGAAATTTTACCAAAGAATCACTGATAGGTCCCCAATATTATCTGATCAACGGTTCAGTTATGATTAGTTTATCTGTGTTTGGTTTGTGTTCAATATGTTATCATTATTTTTGGTTTACCCTATTGTTTGCCCTAATGCTGACCGTCTACCTGTGCGTTGAACTGGTATTTCTGGGCGGTAATATCGGCCTGTATCTAACTAAACTGGGTGTAATTGCCTGTTCATTTACCTACTGTGCCGTATTGAAAAGGTTTGAAAACGATGAACTATATGGTGTCTAAACCCAGTGGGTGGTGGGTGGGTGTGTGGGTGGGGACAAGTGGGTGTTGTAGTGGTCTACAAGTTAGGACACCAAATAAAACCCCCCACTTAATACCCCTGTCCCCCACTAAATCAATTTTTGTTGTTGTTGAAGCTATTATTTAAATAATATAGTATTTAATTATTATTATTATAATAATTATTTTTAAGTGATATATTTATTATTATAATTAGGTATTATTATTTTGTTTTATGTTTAATGTTAATATAATTATTGAATTATTATTATTAAGTTATTATTATTATAAATGTTTTTAATAATTGTTATTTTTAATTATTTATTGTAATTATTATTATTATTATTATTATTAATTGTAGATTAAATATTTGTATATTTTTCAAGACCAATATATTATTGTATAATTATTTGTATTTTACAATAATTATTAGTGAACTAAAAATGATATTTATATTATTAAAAAAAATATTATATTATATATATTTTTTATTATACATTATATATATAAACAATATTATTATAAATTAAATGATTTTATTTATCATATAATTTTTTTTGAAAACAATTAATTATTATTATTATTATTATAATCAATTATCATTGTTATTGTTGTTTTAACATTATGTTTATATCATTATATAATTTCTAAATTAATTCATTAAAACATATTCATTGAATGTATTTATTTATATAAAAATAAAATAATAATAATAAATTCAATTGTCATTTATTTCAATATAAATATATATATTATAGACATGTATTCAGTAATAATACGATAATAACATTTTAAAAATTTTTTAATAAAATGATATTTAATTGTTTTTATTTGTTTAATCCATTTATAAATATTATTGTATTTTTTATTTTATTTAATTGACTATACATGCTATTATTTGTTAAATGGTAAATTAGATTAATTGATTAATTAAATAAATTAATAATTGTTTTTTTTCATTTCATTTCAATTGATTGATTGACATTCAATTTAGTAATTGAAATAAATTATTTTATTATTTTTATTTAATTTTTTGTTTGTTTGAAATTCAATATAAAATTAAATTAATTATTATTTTTTTTAAAAAAAAGGAATTTTTTTTAAATATAAATGTATTTAAAAAACTAAAACTACTTTACATTTACTTTAAATACTTTAAATTTTATTAAATACACACATACATACACATACACACACTTACATACATACATACATACACACACACATGCACACACATGCACACACATGCACACACATACACACACATACACACACATACACACACATACACACACACATACACACACATACACATACATACACACACATACACACACACATATATACACACATATATACACACATATATACACACATACATACATATATACACACATACACACACATACATAATAAATGCTAATTTATCGCATAATTAGAGATTTAATTTAGTCAAAAAAAATTAAATCAGATAACCAACCAACAAAAAAATGCAAATTTTAAGCTCGGATTAAACGATTCATGACTTTTTTATATTTATTTATTTATTTAAAGTAACATTAAATTCAAAAATAAATGTGATATATATGTAGAAAAAAAAGTTCAAAACTCTCTCTCTCTCTCTCTCTCTCTCTCTCTCTCTCTGAAAGAGAGCGCTCCTAAAAAAATATATAAATAATATATAATAAGTATTTTAAAAAATTTTATTGTAAGTAATAAAACAGAAAATATGTGTAAAAAACGACACATTTTTTATTATAGAGAAAAACTACTCATGTTTTGTGGTTTTGAATAAGTAATTACAATATAATATTAAATCAAAAAAAAAACAAAACATAAGTAGTATATACTGTATATATATAGTATATAATAAATATACTTTACTTATAATATTTTAATAAATTATTTATTTATTTATTTTTTGAATATAGAAAAATACATTATTATTATAATTCTCTGAATTTTTAAAAAAAATTTTTAATTATGTTTCATCAAAAAAAAACAGTTTTTATTATTTTAATGTATTTTTTTCACTGTATATATAATATCGTGTATCAGATAAGTGTTAGAAATAAAATGGAAAATTTGTTTTAAACTTTTATTTATTTATTATTTTTTCGGGCAAAAAAATGTTAAAGTTTTTAAATATATATATATATATATATATATATATATATTTAGTTATTGATGTTTTAGTGGTATATTTTATTTTGTTGTTGTTGTTATTGTTGAAACAAATATATCCCAATATCTATAATACTAATAACTAATAGCTAATAATATAATCAAATAAATTATTGAAAATTGCATTTATTTATTTTTTTGGTGTTTAGTTTTAAAGACATTTATGGCTAAGTAGGCCAACATTTCAATGACTATATATATATATATATATACATATATTATATCCATATATAATATATACAGTATGTCTACTGTATAGTCAAACATATTGTTAACAAAAACTAAAAGTTTTTATTTTATTTTAATTTTTTTCAATTTAAACAAAATTTTTGTTTAAAGTTAGACTAAAAAAAAATATTTCATAGTATCTCTCTTTAAATGCTATTTTTGCTATTTTAATAATAAACAAAAATAATAATAATAATAAAAAACAATAATATACTTGAAATAATAATAAATTTATAATTAAAAAAAATAAATAAATAAAATTTTAGTGATGTAGACAATATTTTTTTTTTGAAAAATTTTTCATTGAATTTATTTTTACAAAAATACTACATAAACATTATATATATATTTATATATATATTTAAATTTATATTTTATTATATTATATATATATATAGAAATATAATAAATTAAATAAATTAACATTAGTAATAAAAAATAATTACATATATATAAACTATTATATATATGGATAACTAAATTAATTAAAAATTAATGTATTTAAAAATTTATTTTATAATATTAAAATTTATTACCAGATTTTTTTTATAACAAATATATATATAATTTTATTATAATTTATTATCATATTGTGTTTGTTTTATGTTAAACAAACAAACACAAAAAAACTGTTATCTTTCAAAATAATTTAACAAATATGTCAACACAAATACAATATAATAATAATAATATATCTTTTTTTTTATAAATATTAACATTTTTTGTATGTTTATTATTATAACCAAAAAAAATTTTGTTAAGAGATTTATATAATATTAACAACAAAAAAATCATATATGATTTTCAATAGTTATATATATATTATTATATAAACAATATATTAATATATATAACTGTTATTTTAGCGACAATTTTCTTCAATAATTGTTTATTTATATTAGAAAATAAAAATATTTTTATTATAATTTATTGAAAAAATAAAATATTAATTATTTTAAAACAACATATTTGCTGACAATGTGTTATTTTTTTAAAAAAATGTTATTTAATGTAAACGTTTATTGAATATATAAATTACTAATCAAAAAAATATATAATTAATAAATTTTTTTATTATAAAATATTATTAATTATATTATTATACAGTAGTTGTTAATATAATTTTATGTTTTAAATGTATATTGTTTTTTAAAAAATATTAAATAATTTACATTTTTTGTCTGTTTATTCAATATATTAAAAGATTTATTATTGTTTTTTTTTAAAAGTTTAATTATTATATGGTAATTATAATTTATATTTTATTTTTACATTTAATACATAAACTATTATATATTAAAGTAATTTTACTTTTTGCTAGTTTAAAATAAACAATATAAATATATATATTTTTTCTTAAATATTTAATTATCATAATAATTATATACACGATATTATAATTACTACTATAATACTATATTAGTATTAAAACATTTTATTATTAATTATAATATTAATAGCAGATTATTATATTATTATTTTTATATATTATTAATAAAATTATGATTTCATTTAAACTAATGATAAAAAATAGTAACATTTTTATAATAATTACAGTATATTTCCAACAACAAAAAATGTCATTTATTTATATCAATTAAATATATATATATATATATATATATATAATATCAATGAAATGTGTCATATCTTTTTAAAAAAATAAAATAAAAATTATTTTTATCTTTAAATAAATTTGACAATTTCAGCACAAATGTTATTTGACAAAAATTATTATTATTATTATTATTTCAGAAAAAAAACAAAAAAAAAATAAATATAATTAATTATAGGATTCTCAACTATATAAGCTTTTAAATTAATATTACTTTTTTATTTTAAGTATCATTTAAAAAATATGTGACAAATAATACTAATTTAATTTAATTTTTTTTAGAATTAAAGTATTAATAATTTTTTTTTTGAATAAATAAAACTTTTTAATATAAATGCGATAAAAATTATTTTATTAAACTTCAAAAATAATTATTTTTTAAATATTTAGCATATATTTAAAATAATTATTTATATTTAAAAAACTAAAATTATATAATACACTTAACATAGTTTGCATAATAATTAGCAATTAGCTAAATAAATAATAATAATAATAATAATTTACAGTAATATGATAATTGCTATAATTCACACTTAATTTAGTCATCAATCAAAAAAATATTTTTTTCAAAAATATATATATAAATAACATAATACTTAAAAATACTTGAAAAATATATTTTTAAATACAATACAAAAAAATTATTTCATTTTACACTCACAATACTAATACTAATAATAATGAATTTCATTGTTTTGTCTGTCTGTCTATTATATACTGTATATATATATATATATATATATTAAATAATTTATTTGGCAATTATTCATATATTTTTATATTTCACATATATGTATGCAATATATGTATGTCTCCTACAAAAAAAATTAAAAACATAAAAAATACATTTATTTATTCAATTGAACCAATTTATCAAACATTTAAATAGATTTTTTTTAAATTTTTATTTTAAATACATCATCATCTTATTTAAAGTTAATCTTTATCTGTATTTTTTAAATTTTAAATATTTTAAATATATATATTTTGATTTTTATTAAAATGTTGCCAATTGGCAGTCAATTTGTGATAACTATGTTTTAATATAATATTAGATATTATTAATAATAATAAGCATTTTTTTTAATAAATCATATTTTTTTCTAAATGTCAAATATATTTCAAATTAATTATAATATTATTAATTTTTTTTTAAAAAAAAGTTACAAATAATATTTTATTTCCCAATTTTTGACATAAAAAATAAATAAATTTTGATTATTTTTTTAGTTAAATAATTAGTTACTAAATATATGTGTAATTTTAAACAAATAATAGTKGAKTTTATTATTAAACTAAATAATAAATTATTTTTTATCTAAATTATACATTAATTAAATTAATAATAAAAACTATTTGATATGAATTTAGTAGACTATTATTGCTTGAATATTATATTAAAATTGTTTATATATATATATATATGTATATTATAGTTTACACTTGAATATCAAACATATTATTATTATTATTGGATTTTAAATTATAATTATAAATGTATAAAATTTGACAACAAAATTGCTTATAAAACAAAAAAATAAATAAAATGCAATGAAATCACTACCAAAAAAAAAATTATTAAACAAAGTTAGACACATTTGATTAGATACTAAACAAAAATATATGAAACATTAATAGCAAATCAAATATATATATATATAATTATTTTATTAGTTATCACATACTTGTACTGTACATGTATTTTATAATAATATAATATTTTACTGTTATATATATATTTAATATATAAATATTGCTAAACATAGCATAAATTTTTTTTACTGATAGAGAGAGAGAGAGAGAGAGAGAGAGAGAGAGAGAGAGAGAGAAAATAAAATAAGATATCAAATAAATGGTAACTAATATATAATATTATTTAAACAGATTGTTACCAATCATATACAGTACTTGTATATACATATACAGTATATATAACTTTATTAAAACAGTTATTTAATGCTAAAGTCTATTATATAATAATTTACAGTATATATAAAAATGGTGTACAAATATACTACTAATAATAATAATTTCAATAATAAAAACTTCAAAGACATTGACACCAACACCGATATCAACGACACAACAACAAAACATTTACCGATAAATATGGCCATCAATAGTGGTGTACTAACTATCAGATCGGTTATCTTATTGTTGAAATATTTTCTAATTGGTGCCAATTTTATCATTATATTGGACGCCATATTTCTATTGATATCCGAAAAAGATAGCTATCAGGTATGGATAGACATAAAATAAAATATAATTAATTTAATAAATTTTTAATAATTAGATTATAATTAGATTATTTAAATAATTAGATTATTAATTAATTAGATTATAATTTTGAAATATTAATAATAATTTTATTTAATTGTAAACTAATGTTTGTTTGTTTTTTTTGTTGTTGAATGTTATTATTTGAAAATTAATTATCATATTATTGAATTAATTGTATTTTTAAATAAGATAATACTATTTAGAAATTTTTACAAATATGTTATTGTTTATTTTTCAAAAAAAATAATTTAATATACTAGCAGCTTATTAAATACTAATTTATTAGCATTAAATTAATTTTATCAATAAATACTAATTTATAAAAACTAAATTACTATTTATTTAGCTAGCTAATTGTTATTATTATTATCTATCTAGCAAATTAAAAAATAATAATATTTAACTACATTATACATTTAACTACACTACATATATTTTTTACACTAAAATATTTAATTTAATAAAAATAATTAATTCAATATACTAGCAGATTATTAAACACCTATTAATAATAAGTATTAATAAATTTTTAAAATCAAAAAACAAAAAAAATAATTTATAAAAACTAAATTATTATTTAATTAGCTAGCTAATATTATTATTATTATCTAGAAAATTAAAAAATATATATATTYAACTACACTAAGATATTTAATARTTAATAAAAAATTAATTAATTAATTATTACTATTACTATTACTATACCCAGGGTGAATTTATTGAGGGCCGTCACCAGGTATCCCGTTACCTGCTACTGATGCTCTACGTTGACGTCCAGTCTATTATGATGATACTGATAGCCATATTCGGTATAATCGGTGTACGCAAAGCCAGTCTACCCATACTCGGCCTCTACGGCCTGGTGTTGGCCATTGTGGCCATACTATCCGTTACCGATTTGGATGCATTTGTTATGGAAACAGTTATACTGTTGTGTACGGCATTGTATGCCCTGATTATCAAACGTTTCGACACCTGTTCATCTACTGTTCCTTACAATCAAATGGTGTCCACCAATAATATTAATAATGGTGTTGACTGTAGTATACAAAAAGTTTGATTAGTTAGCAATATATTGAAATCATACCTGTGCTAAACATATACGATATTTAATTTTGATATAATTATATAATCAATTTATTTTTAATTTTTTTTAATTATATTAATTACTTATTTTTTTAATTATGTAATTTTAATTATTATGATTGTTATGATGTTATGTGAATAAAATAATACAATTTTTTTTAATTTAACATTTTATASTATGAATRTATGATTATTGATATATTATTTGATTAATTAATTAATTTAATATTAATTTTTTTTGAAAAATATAAATTATTATAAATTTTTCTATAGTAAAAAATGCAAAMAAAATTAATTATTAATTATTATCTAATATTATTACTAATATTATAAATCTACAATAGTAACTGTAACAAAATAATTCAATAATTATTTTATGAATTTAAATATTTATAAATTATATTATTTTTAATAGGATCAAGTTTGTCATCAATTGTTTAAAAATAATTATTAAAACCTATTATTATTATTATTAWTAATAGTTTTTTTTAAAAATAAGTTATTATAAAGTACTAAAATTATAATTAGATTTTTCCTGTATATTTATATGCCATAAATTATTTTTTTTATATCTAAAATTGTGTGTTTGTGTGTTAAGATAATTGATAAATATTTAATGTTTAAATAAACAAATAATTTTATTTAATAAATTAATTTTTAATATTATTATTTGTGTATTAATTTTTGCATTATTTTTTTTTTAATACAACTAACTGTACTATAATTTTTTTTGTGTATATAGAAACTGTAAAAAATTAATTAAATAGTTATTAAACAATTAAAAATCTAAAAATTAACATAATTTAAATAGATCTCAATATTTATTATAATTATATATATTTATTATTATTAAATTTTAATTAAATTACTAATTTAATGTATATTTTTATTGTTTAATAATTTCTGTTTTATAATAACATTACTTTAAATTTGTTTTACTATCTAAATCTTATTTATTTATTTTTTTAATATAAACAAAATATTTAATTGTTTTAACAAAAAAAATGTAAGTTATTTATCATATTGTGTGTGTGTGTTATAATAATTTTTTAATTAATTAATTATATAAAATTAATTTAATGCTAATATATTTTGTGTATTAAATTTAAAATCAATAATTTTATTACAACTACTAGTATATAAAAAATATAAATAATACATAATTATTAATTAGTATTTTTATTTATCTGATTAATTATTTTAATAATAGTAATCAAAAAAAATAAATAAATAAAATCTACCAAAATTTTTCAACAAAAAAAACTGTAACAAATTTATTCAATAATTATTTTAAGAATTTAAATATTAATAAATTAATTTGTTATAAATAGGACAGACATTTATTAATCAATTGTTTCAAAATTATTATTAAAATCCTATTACTAATAATAATTTTATCAAAGTTATTATAAAATATTATAATAATAATTAAATTTATCTATATATTTATATGCTATAAAATTTTTTTTTTTGATTAACGTTAATTGTAAATAATTTTTTTAAATCTAAAATTGTGTGTATGTTATTATAATTGATAAATTATTTAAAAAAAAATATTTATTATTTAAATAAATAAATAAATTTAATTAATATATTTAATTTGTAACTATTTGTTAATATATTTTAATATTTTTTTGACTTAAATTTAGTATTAATAATTCTATTGATAATAAATAACTAAATAATAAATAACTTTAGTTTAGATTTTATTGTGTGTAAAAAACTGTAAAAAATTAATTCAACTGTTATTTTAGACATTTAAAAATTTATTTGATTTATGATTTAAATAGTTATTAATTTTTCATAATTATATTTATATATATATAGTCTATCTTATTAAATTAACATTTTTATTAACATTTTTATTATTATTCAATTTTAATTAAATTACTAATGATATTTTTAAAAAATTAAATTTACAACAATAATTTTATTACAACTACTAGTATATAACAAGTTTTTAAATTTAATAGTTTTAATAATAAAATGTTTTATTTGTTTGATTAGATATGTTAAATGAGATGCCAATACATACCTGTGCTAAACATTATTTTTAATAAATAATATATTATTTTTTTTGTAAAATTTTTTTTAAAAATAAGTCTATTTTAATATAAATTTTATAAATGATTTTTTCTAATTATTATTATTATGTGAATAAAACTTTAATAGCATTATATATTTTTAATATATGCTAAATAAAATAAATGCAATTTTTTTACCCAATTAATTACTTAATACAATAATTTAATTTGCAACTTAACATTATTATTTATTAAAATATTAAAAAAAAATTATTATTATTTAAAAATAACTAATAGTTTTTTCATCACCACAGTACTAGAAACTGTAATAAATTTATTTAATTGTTATATTAAACATTTAAATACTAAAAAATTAAATAATTTAAATAGTTTTATTAAATTAATTTAATAAAGTTATATAATTTTTTATGTTATCTAAAATATTATTTAAGTAAACAATTTTTAATAATTATTATACTAATAAAAATTTTTTTATTAATCATATCAATCATTCAAATTGTTTTATTAATTGTTTAGTTTGATTTTTGATGTTTAAAAAAAACAATATTAAACAAAATACTAGTATTTTATTAATACACAAAACTAAATTGTATTTTTCATAAAAAATAATAATAAATAAAATTAAGTTAATAATAAATTAATCTAGTTAAATTTAAACCTATTGGAAATATATATAACAAGGTAATATATATTAATAGCTTAAATATATATATATATTTAATGTATTTAATTATTTTAATAAATTATAATTAAATTTATTGAACGGGTACTAATAATAAAAAATAATTTTAATTTATATTAATTATTACATTTGTTAGATAAATAAAATTTAATAATTTTTTTTTTATTGTTATTAATGATTACAATTTTCTATATTTTTAAATAAATATTTTTGTTTGTAATTGTAAAAACTGTAACAAATTAATTGAATAGTTGTCTAAAATATTTAAATACTTTAATAAATAACTTAAATATTAATGTCAATATTAGTGAAATAAAATATTTATTACTAAATCTAATATCATCATGTTAAATTAACATATTTTTTTATATTTTATTAAAAATAATTATCAATTACTATTTTAAATATTGTTATTAAATTACTTTTTAAAAAATTTAATTATCACATATAATATAAATTATAGTAGGATTATATTAATTAAAATAACATATATATATACTGTATATAACATTGTTTTCTAATAATAATAATAATTCAATAAAAATAATATAAATAATAGATTTGTAATAATTTTTTTCTAATTGAAACTTTCGTTGGGAAAAAAAATTATGAGAAATTTTCTTGAAATATTTTTTAAAACTAATATTTTGCACACAAAAATAATCCCCAAATATATTATAAATACTAACAACAGTTAAACAGTATTATAGCTTAAGTAGCTTACAGTGTATATGGATATCTAAAAATAGCCGAAAATTTATTAAACAAAAATTTAAAAATAAACTATTTATTAAATGACTTAAAATTTATTTTATTTTCTAATTTTTCTCTATTCACACTGTCTGACTGTTATATGTATTAAAAGACTAAAAACTTTTAAGTTTTCAAACTTAAATGTTAAGTTAAATGTCAATTCACTCTCTCTCTCTCTCTCTCTCTCTGAATGTATGTTTATTTTCATAGCTATTATATATATATATAAAGTTATATATATATATATACTGTATAGACATATATATACTGTATTTTTGTATATATGTTAATAACAAGCTGTGTGTGTGTGTAACACATGTGTGGTAAACAAAATTATTATTATTATTATATAACTATTGAAAGTCTCTCTCTCTCTCTCTCTCTCTCTCTCTCTCTCTCTCTCTCTCTCTCTCTCTCTCTCTCTCTCTCTCTCTCTCTCTCTCTCTCTCTCTCTCTCTCTCTCTCTCTCTCTCTCTCTGTCTGTCTATATATATATATATAGCTGTATACATATATACATATATATTATTTGCAGTTGCGCTATACTATACTATTGATATAAATTATTATTATTATTATTACACCATGTATTACCATAACATAAGGCAATACATSTATATAACATTTTTTTTTGAAAAGATAGATAGTTAGAGAAATAAATAATATATATATATATATATAAAATACAGTATATTTTTTGTTGTTGTTTAGTAGTATATTAAACTACAGGTATATGTGTTTGTGTGTATGACATACCAGTGCCAGTCATACTTAAAGTACTATTTAATAATAAAATAAAATAAAATAAAAATGTTTACAATTAATGGCTTAAATTAATATCTAAAACTATTATTAAAAATAAATATATTTCACTATTACTTGAAATATATTGTTATATATATGATATATACATAAAACTATTTATAAATAACTATATATATGTKTGTGTGAGTGAGTGGGTGTGTATTATTACACACACACATATTAATACAGTTTGTTATACCATCCCATCATAAACTTGTTGACCACACACTTGATAAACAAGTGATAAATATTTTTTATATATATATAAGTATTTATTTATAAATATTTTTATGTTGGTTTGAATTATATAATCGGCAACAAAATCAAAAAGTCTATTAATAGTAGACATAATAATAATAATAATAATATTTTTTTGTGAATAAAAAAAATATCATATAATTAATAATAATAATAAATACCTGTTTTACTGATAAAATAGCAATTAAACAAAAAAAATACAATAAAAACTCTATTGATTACTGTTATCGTGATTTTACTGACTGTGTGTTTGTGTGTATATAAGTGTTTTCAAACGGGATTCCCGATTGAATACTAATAATAATAACTACAGTATATATATAACACCCCCCCCCCAAAAAAAATACATCTAATCTCTAAGTATTATATCATATATATACAGTAGAGAGAGTATACCTCTAACAACACACACACACACCCACACCTACCTATCCATACCTATCTCAACCAACACAACCAACAAAAAACAATGGGAAACATAGAGACTGTCGGTCCCAATGAGGCACTGATAGTATCGGGAGGTTTGTGTACATCAACTGATAAACAGTTTGTTGTCGGTGGCTGGTGCTGGACCTGGTGGCTCATAACCGATGTCCAACGTATGTCCCTACAAATTATGACCCTGAAACCCCAATGCGATAATGTTGAAACAGCTCAAGGGGTACCCCTGTCCGTTACAGGGATAGCCCAGTGCAAGATAATGAACGAACCGTCTTTCCTGTCCATAGCCGCCGAACAGTTTCTCGGTATGAGTATACGTCAAATACATTTCGTACTAAATGAGACACTGGAGGGTCATCTGAGGTCAATATTAGGTATGGGTTTTTTGATTTTTTTTGATATAAAAAAGTTTTTTGAAAAAATAAGTTTTTTTTTAAAGTTTTTATTTTAGATAATTTTTTTTGTGTTTCACTCTTGTTGTAGTTAATAGTATTTTAAATATATTTGTTATAAACTATTATACTAACTAATACTAATTAACTAACTATTATACTATGTTTTACTTATTAAAATATTATTTTATATAATAAATAATAAAAAAAAATTATATTTATATCATAAATATTTTTTTTTTAAAAATATGTTTATTTAATTTTATTAATGTTTAGTATAATAATATTCATTAATAATAATTATTTGCATTTAAAAAACAATAATAATAATAATTAATTGCAAGTTAGAAATAAATATATTAATTTTATAAATATATATATATATTATATATAATTTAAATTACCATGCTTAGTTAGTTAGTCAAGTATAATTATTTAATAATTAATAGTTATTTAATAATAAAAAAAATTATTATTATATTTATTATTAACTTTTCAGCAACAAAAAAAAACTGTAATTAATAAATTATTTATAATATACTATTGCTGTTTATAACTATTGAAACATAAAAGGGATCACTAAAATAATTGTTTATTAAAAAATTAATTAATTTTTTATGTTCACATGTAATTAATACACACACATACATACATACACATATACACACACACTTTGACACATACATACACACATACACACACATATACACACACACTTACATAGATACATACAAACATAAATACAAACATACATACATACACATACACACATACAAACACACACACACACACACACACACATACACACACACATACACACACATACATACACACACATACAAACAATTAGCAAGCTAAAAAATAATTAATAAAAAAATTTATTATTATTATTTTCCCAAACAATAGGCACACTAACTGTCGAAGCCATCTACCGCGACAGGGATCAGTTTGCCCAACTGGTCCGTGAAGTGGCCAACCCGGACGTGGGTCGGATGGGTATTGAAATTGTTAGCTTTACTATTCAGGATGTATACGATTGTGTGGAGTATTTGTCATCGTTGGGCAAAACCAGGACAGCCGAAGTCAAACGGGACGCACAAGCAGGTGTAGCATCGGCTGAAAGGGATGCCGGGATCAGGGAAGCCCATTGTAATAAGGAGTCAATGGATGCCAAGTACGGGGCCAATACTAAGATAGAGGACGCCCATCGGCTGTTTTCGCTGGAAAAAGCTAAATACGATGGAGAGGTAGGTTATTGTTGTTGTTGTTGTTGTTGTTTTTTGGACAGTATGTTAGGGGGTGGTGGAGGGTGATGGTTGGGTGGTTATGTGTTTATATATATATAGAGTAATTACACTGATTATCAAGGGGTCTATGGGTAAGTGGGGTTTGGTATTGGATTCATGCAATGTTTATGTGTATGTGTGTGTGTTTGTATGTATGTGTGATTGTAAGTGTGTGTGTGTGTTTGTATGTGTATATGTGTGTGTGTTTGTATGTGTGATTGTTTGTATGTGTGTATGTCTATGTATGTGTGTTTGTATGTATGCATGTGTGTTTATGTGTGTGTGTGTGATTGTTTGTGTGTGTTTTTGCATGTGTGTGTGTGTGTGTGTGTGTGTGTAATATTTTTTTGTGAGAGAGAGAGAGAGAGAGTTATTAAATAATTAATATTTATTTTAAAATAATTTTTCCTTATTACTATTATTATCATTGTGACCTTGATAATTTTAAATAATTTACTGACAATAATATATCTACTAATATAAATATTTTTTGTGTTATAAAAATTATTTTAAAACTTTTATTTCAAACTGTGCATGAATATTATTATTTTTTTAAAAAAATTTTAGTAATAATATAAATTATTTTTTTTATAAATATTTATAATGCAATTCATATTTAATCAGTTGTTATGTTTATAACATTTATGTAAATACCAGTATATCTATTAAATATTAATCAAATTTTACTTTTATTATTAACTATGCAATTGATATAAACTAAAAAAAATATTAGTAATTAATCTTAATATTTACTAATCATTTAAAAAAATCATTATTTTTTTATCAATAATTACATAGCGGTATATTTTTAGGTGATTTTTTTTATTTAATTTTTTTTAGTATAATTAATTTAATGTCTAATATTTATGACTAAATAAATATGTTAAATATATTTAATATTTTTTTTGTTTTGTTTAGTTTATTATCAATTTGTTGATTAAGTGATTGCACACAATATTTTTTAAATTGATATATTAATATTAATACATAAATATAATATTTATAATAATATTACTAAATATATATATATATATATATATATTAGACCAACTGTTGTGTGCGTGATATTGATTTTTATATATATATATATATATATATTTTGTTTAATAAATATATAAATTATATATATATATATACTATTATAATATGATACTAATAGTAGTAATAGTTAGCAATACTACACATAATAAAATAAATATTATAAATTAAAAAATTTAATAGTAGTAGTAGTATAAAAATATTAAATAATATTTAACATATATATATATATAATTTATTTAATCTAAAATATTATTATTATTATTATTAGTTTAAATAGTCAATAAATAAGCTATTCATCTAAATTTAGATTATTTTAATTGTATTATTATTATTATTATGAAATAAAATATTAGATTATATATATAAATATATTTTTATATAACATATTTTTTTCTAACTATAGTTTATTATATTTTAATTGTTGTCAACATTTGACATATTAAGTGTTGTAATAATAAATTTTAGTATTATTATTATTAGTAGTAATAATTATTGCATTTTATATATATATATAATTTATTTTCATATTTATTATTATTATTATTATTGCAATAATTTCTAACAAAATTATCATATATTATATATATATATATGTTGAATATATTAAGTCGATATTTAGTTTATTATTATTATTATTACTATTATTAACGATATACTCTAGCTATAGATTTATTATAATTATTAATAATAATAATAATATTTTATTTGTTGCGAAAAAATCGATTTTTATAACTATAATAATAATAATAAAATGTTTAGACATTTAAAGATTGAGTGAAAGTTTATGAGAGAGAGAGAGTAAGTGATGGAAAAAAATGAAAATAAAAGTCAATAATTTTTTTATGTTATATATATTGATATTAATATATTGTATATATAAATGGTATATAAATTTATTTTTGCATTTAGTTTACATTTATATATATGACACGATAACCTATTTATGGGTAAATATTTATAACAATAACAATAATAACAAATAGTTATAATAATAATAAAAGATTTCGATAATACATAAAAAAAACTATTTGTATCATTAATTAAATAATAATTAATCAATAGATTAGTATTATTTAAAAACTTTACAATAAATTATTATTAATTAAATAAATTATTATTAATTAAATAAATTATAGATTATTTATTTAGATACTAAATTATTACTAAATAAATAAAATACAATAAATATATAACTAAATTAATTGATAAATTAATTCATTTAATTATTTGATTGTTTGATTAAAAAATTATTTTTACAATTAAAACATATTATAATAACAACAATATTATCATCAAATATACCCACAAAAAAATTATTTATTTAACAAAAATAAATAAAAATAATTTTTATTACATATAAAAAAATATTTATCATATAATTAATTAATTAATTAATTAATAGGTAAACACATTGAAAGCTGAGGCACAGTTAGCTTACGAGTTGCAAAGTGCACGTATCCAACAGTCCATACGTAATGAGGAAATGGAGATCGAAGTCGTGGAAAGGCGTAAACAGATTGATATACAGGAAAAGGAGATCCAGAGGCGGGAAAAAGAGTTGATGGCTCAGGTCAAGCTACCGGCCGAAGCCGAAGCCTATCGGGTTGAGACAGTGGCCAGTGGTGCCCGTGCGGCTACCGTTTCCACTGCCCAGGCCGAGGCCCAGCGTATCAAATTGATTGGTGCCGCTGAGGTATGTCACAGTATATACACGTCTATACCCGTCCCCTCTATACCCGTCTATACATGTCTAACATGTCTATACCCGTCTATACCCGTCTATGCCCGTCTATGCCCGTCTATACCCGTCTATACCCGTCTATACCCGTCTATACCCGTCTATACCCGTCTATACCCGTCTATACCCGTCTATACCCGTCTATACCCGTCTATACCCGTCTATACCCGTCTATACCCGTCTATACCCGTCTATACCCGTCTATACCCGTCTATACCCGTCTATAATATATATCATCAATAGATAGATAGATATGATAATTATTATTATTAAGTTTAGTATTTATTTTTGAAAAATTATTTTTTTTGAAGATTTATAAATATATTATATTATATCATATTATTATTATTAATTAAAATAATTTTTTTAAAACAATTATTATCTATTAATATGTTTACCAAATAGTTTAGTAGTAGTAGTAGTGGTTTTTTAGTTAATTATAGTTAGATAGATAGATATATATTACAGACAGGCAAAGTAGGGAAGTTATGAATATAATTATTTATTTCATATATACAGTATAAGTAAATATTATGTATACAAAATTTTATTTTAAAAATAAAAAATTTATTTTAAATAATAATTATAATAAAAGTTAACACGACAATTATTACTATTATTACTATTATTACTATTATTACTATTATTACTATTATTACTATTATTACTATTACTATTAACTTATATTTAAATAAATCAATCAATATTTAATATTTTTATCTAAATTTTTTAAACATTTTATTTGATATTAATATTAACATTAAATATAATATTAACTTTATCATATTAACTGATATCATATGACATCAGTATCTTTGTTTTGTTAATTTTTGCATGTATATATTAATCCTTTTATCTGTATATATTTACTTAAGTAAATATATTTTAATCCCCTAGTTTTGCCAGTCTGTAATATATATCATAATTATAATAATTATTATTAAGTTTTAGTATTTATTTTAGGAAAATTATTATTTTTTTTGTTTAGAAGATTTATGAATATATTATATCATAGTATTATTATTATTAATTAAAATAATTTTTTTAAACAATTATTAATTATTAATATGTTTACCAATATTTTAGTAGTAGTAGTAGTAATAGTAGTTTTTTAGTTAATTATTTTATTAGTTTTTTTAGTTAATTATTTAATTTTAGTATTATTTTTAATTAATTATTTAGTTTAGTATTTTAAGAAAATTTTTTTATTTAATGATTATTAAATAGTATTATTATTATTATTATGGTTTAGAAACTATTAATAAATTGTTTAATAATATAGTTAGTAATTTAACTTTATTATTATTATTATTATTTTATTTTTAAAAATACATTAAACTAATAATTTATTTTTATTACTGAATAATATAATAGTTAATACAACTAAAAAATAATACAATCAATTATATAACACTTATCTATCTATTTATTAGTAATTTTTTTTAATTATTAATACTATTAATAATAGCATTCAATTAATTTGGTTATCAATCATTAATTAAAAAAAAAATCAAATAATATTTTTAAAAATTAATTAATTAATTATTTGTTTTGATTTTTTTTGGTTGTTATCTATCGGTTGGTATCGGTTTAGGCCTACGGTATTGAAGCCGTCGGCAGAGCCGATGCCGAACGTATGCGTATGAAAGCCATGGCCTACAAACACTTCGAGGACGCGGCCATACTGTCCCTAACCCTGGAAGCCCTGCCGAAAATTGCGGCCGAAGTTGCGGCACCGTTGGCCAAAACCGATCAGATTGTCCTCATCGGCAATAACAGTGGCCATCAGTCATCAAACGGTTTGGTAGACCCGTTGACACAACTAGTCTCACAATTACCGCCCACAATACAGGCCCTAACTGGTATCAACTTGACGGGAACGTTAGCTAAAATACCCGGTGCTATACGTGAACATACTAATAGTAATAGTAATAATAATAATACTAATGTTAAGCATATACATCAAACTAATAGCAATAATGTTGTTGCTGCTATTGATGCTATTTTTACATAACTACCGGTGTGCTGGACATACAGGTGCTGGACATACACACACACACACACACACACCCACACATATATGCTGGACATACATGCATACACACACACACACACAATCACATTGTTAACTAAACTAACTAAACATTTTAAGTTATAAATATTTTTTATATATATATATATATATATTCAATAATATATTCGATAGATTTTTGATTGCATTAAGTATTGTTATATACAGTCTATTATTATTCAATATTATTATTATATGGATTTTATTTATTAGATATTTATTATTAAAGTTATTATTATTTTTTAAATATATAATTATTAGCAGCTATTGTTGTTGTTGTTGTGTTAGTAGTGTTTAGTATCTATTTAAAACAATTTACAAATAGTTATTTAGTTTTTTTTATATATAATAATCAAATTATTGAATTATTTTAAGTATCAAATATTGATTATTAAATTATTATAATATATATATTGTAAGTTATATTTTATATATATATATATTGATATATACAGTAAGTGCCTATCAATTTGTACCAATCAATTCACAACTAGTAAATCAATGAACAAAAAAAATATTATTGATTTTTTTTCAAATAGCATATTATTTTAACAAATAAAAAAATCTCATTTAAATTTTTATAAAAATATATTAAATAATTATTATACTGTATATTAATAGGCTATCTATCACTTAATAGATAAGTACAGTACTGTAGGCTAGTATTACTAAATTAATAGTTTAAAAATATATTATTATTATTAAAAATATTATTTATAATCATTACTACTATTATTACTAATAATTATAGCATTATTATGTTTGCTATTAAGCTATTTATTAATATATAATAAATTTGAAATATTATTTATTAATTTATAAAATTATAATTTATGATTATAAACAAAATTAAAATAATATTTATATATATATTAATTAATTTTATAATGTTATTGTATTTTTTTTTTGATTAAAAATACAGATAATATTAAACAAAAAAATATACTCTTAATTATAGATCAAATAATGTCTCAATAATTATATAATTTTATTAATTTTTAAAATAACTTTTAAAATAACAAAAATTTATACATGAAATTATTTACACACATAAAAACAAATTTTTTATATAAACTGTTAATTAATTATTTTAAAAATCTCAATTAAATTAAATATATATATATTATACACATATTAAATTTTACACATAAAAATCAATTAAAATATTAAAAATTGTAACTTTTTTGTAGTTGTTTTTTGTGATTTACTTTATTTGTAGTTATTTGAAATTTTGATTTTTTTTTTAAAAAAAATTACTAAATGTTTAATGTGTCTATACAATTATTTAGTTAAAAATATGTTTTATTTAAATGTCAATAAAATAAAAGTAACAAAACTAATGTTTAAAATATTATTTTAGTTTAATTAATCCAAACTTAATCTAAATTACTTAATAATTAATTTTTTGTTTGCTTAATGTATATTAATATTATTTTTAATAAATTAATTTTTTTATAAAAAATATATTATTATCAAAAAAATAATATTTTTAGGCTAAATCATTGTTCTAATTAAATTTAGCAAAATCATTTAAGTTATAAATAAATATTTTTAAAATATATATATATATATAAATAATATTAAGTAATATTTATAATATGCTAATTATTTTTTTTTTGATTAGACATTCAAACAATTTTATCAAATTTTTTTTGATTTTTTTATTTATTTAGTTATTTATCAATTAATTTTCAAACTATCAGTACTTAAAACATTTTATATTATTATATTATCAATAGTATTATTACATTATTAATATATTTTAACTAATCATTGATTAATTAAATCAATTTTTTGAAAACATAAATATTTTAAAAACATAATAAAAAGTGGCTAACATTGAAATCAGTTTTATAAATATACATAAGTTTTTTTTATAATATAAGGACAGTTAGTATATATTTATATATAACAAAAATTGGGTGTCTATTCCAGTTCACTGTTGCATAACATCATACCTGTCCTCCTCTCCCATCCATATCTTTAACTATATCTAACTGTACTTTATTTTTAAATAATAATAATATACAGTATATCTTAATTAAACTTATATTTTTTTAGATACAAATATATATATATATATATTTAGTTTCAAAAAACAATAAAAATTATTATTAAAATTCAATAATAGTAATTTAGGGCTAACCCAATAGTTTTATTATTATTATTATTATTTAATTTTTATTATTTTATGTTAAATTCAAAATCAAATATTTTTCAAKTAATTTCAACAATATATATATATATATGTTGTCAACTGTTTTGTTTTGTTTTGACACTTAATTTGTATTAAACATAATTTTAAAGAAAAAAAAATATAAAAATTAAAAAATAAAATAAAACAAAAACAAAAAATTATTATTTATGAGTTTTGATTTTTAAAAATGATTTACTTAAATGATATTTGATTTTTTTAGAGTACAGTATATTATTATTTTCGCCTCAAAAATATAATAATATTATTTTTAAAAATATTATTGAAATGACAAATCAGAAAATTATAATAAATATATATWTTTTATATAACAAAAAATTATTATACATTACTTAATAAATAATTTTAGTTTAAATTATTATTAGATGCAAATAAATTTTTGTTTTGTTTTTGTTGTTTATAATATTTAATACAAAAAGAAAATTGTTTTAAATTATTATATTATTTAATACAATATAAATTCAATGATAATAATAATAATAATAATATGCAATAAATCCAAGGCTATAGACTAAAAAACTTTATCTATTAGTATACTATATATATATAAAGTCCAGTCATTTATATTGTTTAATCAAAACATTATTAGTAGACTAATAATTGGTGTCTATATTTCAGACTTTGCTAACAAATTGAATATTACTTTTATACAGTTATACCAAAAAATTAATAATAATAATAATGAAAGTTATTGTAAGTTAATATATATTTTTTGAAAACTATTGAAATTATTTATTAATTTTTTAAGGCATTTATCGTATTGTTTGGACTGTTGGCTACCCTAGCCTCAAGTGTCCCGGCCTGGGGTGGCAGCTATGGCTATAAGATAGCTGCACCACATTATTCAGTATCCCATTATGGCTATGCTCCGGGTAATATTTAATTATTATTATTACTATTAAATTAATTTTTTAACTATTTAATTTAGTTATCGCTTATATGATTAGTTTAATAATTTTTATTAAAAAATTAGTTATTTTTTAAATAAATAAATAAATATTATATAAATTAATTACAATTTAAGTTTGTTCATTGAATTTAAATTAATTTCAGTTTTAAATTTATTGAAAATAATTATTTTTAATTTAGATAATARAAATATTACATAATTTATTTATAACTAAAATATTAATTTATTTTTCTAAAAAATAATTTGCTAAATTTAAAATAAATATAAGTACTTATAATTCAAAAATTTTATGCAAAATTTTTTTATAAATAATAGCTAATTATTAATTAGTTAATAAAATTTATTTTTTCTATTTTTCTATTAGCTTATGGCTACTATGGATATCCAGGTACTTWTAATTATTATTATTATTGCTATTATTATATACAAAATATTAAATTAATTTATTATTATTATTTTTAAACAAAAAATTTTTGTTTTTTATTATCAAAAAAATAGGTTATGGAGGTTACGGTTGGGGAGGACATGGAGGTTATGGTGGCTATGGTAAGGGTGGCTGGTGGTAAAAATAGGCATTGGATTGGCAAAAACAAAATTGATGATGATGATGATTATACCGTTTTAAAAATAATAAAATTATCAAGCACAAATTGTATAATAAAATTGAATGCAACAAAAATCACTGCCTTTTTTTATAAATAYATTTTATTATTAAATTTTTTCTAGAATAACAAAATTATGTAAAAAATTATTGTCTATTTTTTTTTGTCTAAAAATTATGTTTTTTTGTTTGTTTGTTTATTCTTGTTGTTCTTCTTTAAATTACAAAATTACAAAAACTAAAACTAAATTAATTATATAAAATTACTTTATTAATTATTTTAATTTTAAAAAATTAAAAAAATAAATTATAATAGAAAATATTATTTAGCAATAACTAAAATTATTTATTTTATTATTAAATATTTATTTAGAAAAAATAATTGAAAATTGACTTAATTGATTAAAATAATTACTATTAACTATTATTGAAAATATTTATTACATATTCAAGTACTTTAATAATTAATAATTTAAAAACAGATGTTTTTATGTTTAATTTTATGTTTATGTTTTAATAATTATTTTCATAACAAAATTAATTGTCATTTCAATTAAAAATGAAGTCACTTATCATATTAATTGTATTAATTGGCTATTATTCTTGTTATTCAATTAATAATATTAATAATAAATATTATTATTATCCTAACTATGATTATAATGATTATAATTACGGAGATACTATTAATAATGATCAGGATAATAATGATTATCATTATACTTATTTTAGTAGTAGTAGTACTAATAATTATAATGCTAATTCAATGGATGATTTCAATGACGTTGACAAACAATGGCTATTATTTAAAGTAAAATTATAATTAGATTAATATTAGATAATATTTTATTTATTGATATTTTATATATATATATATATATATATATATATATATATATATATATATATATATATATATATATATATATATATATATATATAAAGTTTATAAATATTTATTACTTTAAAATACTTAAATAACTATAAATTAACTGACTATTGATTTAATTGTTATATATATATATATTGCTAATTAAAAGCTTTAATTATATTAAAATATTATATATATACAGTATATAGTAAAATTTATAATTATGTTTATTATATAGATTACTATTAAATATATTATATTATATTTATATATTTATAGCAAAATTTTCGTTCAAAAAATGATCCACTAACAAATGATAGACTTTACAAAAACTTAAATGAAGAACAATACAGGCGCTCAGTATTTGAAGATAATTATAGACGTATTGTCAAACATAACCAACTGTTCAATCAGGGTATCGAAAAAAATCGTCAAAGTGTTAACATGTTTTCTGATTGGACTGATAAGGAATTTTACGATTATAATAAACCGTTACCAATACCAATAAACCAACAAACAATATGACTAGAAAATAAGATTAAAATTTTTATATATTAATAAATAATAAGGTTGTTTGTATTTAAATATAACTATAATCTTAAAATAAAAAGTTTTTATTATTATAAAAATACAAAATTAATTATGAAAATTTTAATAATTTTTGAATAATTGATTTGTAACAACCATCCTATTCAATGATATTTATCTGTCTGTCAATCAATCGGTGTCTGTCTGTCTGTTATCTTCTATGTCTTCACTGACTCAACTCTTCCTTTGCTTCGGTAAACTGGTCTTTAAGTTTGCGTCGAAATCGATCGACAAATCAGTCAAATCTTTCTGTATCTTCCAATTTGTTTTATTTGTTTGTTCGTTTGTCGGCGACGACAACGTCAACACTGGCCACCAATTTGTTTGATTTGTTTGCTCGTTTGTCGGCGACCACAACATCAACACTGGCCACCAATTTGTTTGTTCGTTTGTTGGCGACCACAACGTCAACACTGGCCACCAATTTGTTTGTTCGTTTGTTGGCGACCACAACGTCAACACTGGCCACCAATTTGTTTGATTTGTTTGTTCGTTTGTCGGCGACGACAACGTCAACACTGGCCACCAATTTGTTTGATTTGTTTGTTCGTTTGTCGGCGACCACAACGTCAACACTGGCCACCAATTTGTTTGATTTGTTTTTTCGTTTGTCGGCGACCACAACGTCAACACTGGCCACCAATTTGTTTGATTTGTTTGCTCGTTTGTCGGCGACCACAACATCAACACTGGCCACCAATTTGTTTGTTCGTTTGTTGGCGACCACAACGTCAACACTGGCCACCAATTTGTTTGATTTGTTTGTTCGTTTGTCGGCGACGACAACGTCAACACTGGCCACCAATTTGTTTGATTTGTTTGTTCGTTTGTCGGCGACGACAACGTCAACACTGGCCACCAATTTGTTTGATTTGTTTGTTCGTTTGTCGGCGACGACAACGTCAACACTGGCCACCAATTTGTTTGATTTGTTTGTTCGTTTGTCGGCGACCACAACGTCAACACTGGCCACCAATTTGTTTGATTTGTTTGTTCGTTTGTCGGCGACCACAACGTCAACACTGGCCACCAATTTGTTTGATTTGTTTGTTCGTTTGTCGGCGACCACAACGTCAACACTGGCCACCAATTTGTTTGATTTGTTTGCTCGTTTGTCGGCGACCACAACATCAACACTGACCACCAATTTGTTTGTTCGTTTGTTGGCGACCACAACGTCAACACTGGCCACCAATTTGTTTGATTTGTTTGTTCGTTTGTCGGCGACGACAACGTCAACACTGGCCACCAATTTGTTTGATTTGTTTGTTCGTTTGTCGGCGACGACAACGTCAACACTGGCCACCAATTTGTTTGATTTGTTTGTTCGTTTGTCGGCGACGACAACGTCAACACTGGCCACCAATTTGTTTGATTTGTTTGCTCGTTTGTCGGCGACCACAACATCAACACTGGCCACCAATTTGTTTGTTCGTTTGTCGGCRACGACAACGTCAACAYTGGYCACCAATTTGTTTGATTTGTTTGTTCGTTTGTCGGCAACGACAACGTCAACATTGGYCACCAATTTGTTTGATTTGTTTGTTCGTTTGTCGGCGACGACAACGTCAACATTGGTCACCAATTTGTTTGATTTGTTTATTTGTCGGCTACAAAACTATCAGATTATATGGCTTTCAAAAAGTAGGTCCACTGCAACTAACAGTTGATAAAGTGTTTGGTTTATTGATAAACCAATAAACAGAATAAATGTTCAATAATATAAATCAATTAAAAACAATTGATATAATTATCGGTCGATTAAACCATAGTCTTTTTGGTTGTTGTTGACAATCATCGGCGACGGCAACTAATCGATGGTTACTTAAGCCGATTCGGTATAAATGATAGGCCGACCACTTGTATACCATAATTATGCGAAGTACTAATAAAATATTATTTTAAAAACTTTCAAACAAAAATTATTTTGTTATTATATTTAACTTTAAATTTAAAATTACAAAAGCTGTTAATTGTAATTAAAAAAAATATATTTTATGAAACTAAATTTATTATATAAAACTACTTTGTTATTTATTTTAATTTCAATAAGTATCCTAATAACTTTAATATAATAGTTTTGTCTGTTTGTTTGTTTGTTTGTTTGTTTGTATGTGTGCACACTTCCTCAACAACCATTTTTTAAATCAAAGCTAAAAATATATTGTTATATTTTCAATTTTAATTTAAAGCAATGTTATTTTTATGGGAAATTTTAAATGATTATTGAGCTCAGGTAGGTTTTAGGGACAGGTAGGCTGGTGTCGTGTAGTTACACTTTGCTATATTATATGAGTTACAGGGCACCGGGAGGTAAGCTACCTGTGCTAAATTTTTGCAAAATTTTATCAAATGCAAAAATTTTCAATTTGTGTTAAAATTTTCAATTTTTATTTAAAGTAATGTTATTTCTATGGGAAATTTTAAATTTTTGTTGAGCTCAGGTAGGTTTTAGGGACAGGTAGGCTGGTGTGTCGTGTAATTACACTTTGCTATATTGTGTGAGTTTATGGCACATGTTAGCTACATGTGTTAAATTTCAGTAAATTTTTTTCAAATGCAAATTTTTTTTCGGAAAAATTAAATTTTCAATTTTATTGAAATTATTTAAATATATATAAAAACTAAAATTTCTCAAAAGTTTAGTCGAATTAATGTGTATTGATTCAGTAGTTTTGTTACATTAGGTTATGTAGTAGTTGTATAAACAAATTAAGTCTCATTCAAATTACTTATAGTAAATATTTTTAAATTAGTAAAAGAATTGCACGGCTATACATGTTGCTCGGGACAAACTAGTTTATTATAATTTAATTATAAAAAATATTTTTTAAAAATCAATTTTTATAATAATTATTATTTCAAAATATACAGTAATTACTTATTAATAGTTAGTTAAGAATGAGATAATATATCAACAAAAAATACTATACGTTTTATAACAATTATTTAATTAAAATTATTGTTAAAAACAGTTAAAAACTTTTAATAATTTTGTAATTTAGAATATTAAATATTTTAAGTAATCTAAAACTTATTTAGGAGCAACTAAAATTATACATTTTAAAACATATTTATTAACAAATAATTAGTGACTAATTTTTGAAATTATTCATTACATAAATTATAAAATTAAAATCAAGTACTAAAAATGTTTATTATTTAAAAATACATATAAATTTTAAAATGAAAAACTTGTTTAGTTATTAAGTTTTTGAATAAAAAATAATTATCATTTATTAATAAAGTTTAAAAAACTATATATTGTGGAAAACTTTCAATGCGACACATATTTACGCCACGTAACACTTTAATATATCCTTTATCATTAAATTTAGGTCCCCAGGAATTGCGTATTATCCAATAGGGTTTCCCATTTTCCTGTCCATAACCAACAATATTTACTGCATGATTTATTGGTTTGTTACAGTCTGAGGATTCATATATTGAACCAATTTCGGCGCTAATGAATTTTGTGTTTACGTGCATTAAAACAATTAAAGGTCCATGATCTATCAAAGCTGTTTGCATATAAATTTCATTTTGCAAAACGTATACAACAGTCAAATTTCCTCGTCCAACTAAATTAGTTTTCTTACATATACCAAGTTTCCCACCATTTGATCCGCTAACGTATGGATAATTTTTATCCAGTTCACTGCCGCCATTTATTATTATAGTCTGTATTGCTGTTTCTATATTATTACCTACTGAACAACTATAATTTTGCGTACAATCAATAACCTGTTGTTCTGAAAGAATTTGCAAATTGCCAGATTTTATAGCGATAGTACCTAAATTTTAAATAGAATTAATTTCTACAGTAAACTTATAATAACAATAGACATACTTTCAAATGCTGAAATTGTTGCAAATGCCCAACATGATAAACACTATAAAAAAAAGAAAATCATATAGTTTAATACTAAACAAATAATTTATTATTACCGTTCCTTGATTTTTTATATCATTTATCACATTCTTGTCTCTCCAATCAAAATATTTTGGGAGTTTTCTGTTTGGATCTATTGTTTGGGTATCAATTAGGCTAAATGATTTGATATTTTTAGGCAATGGCGGCAAAGTTGAAAAATTCATTGTGTATTTAGCATAAAATTCAGCATCAGTTATATCGGAAAATTGATTAATACGGCTTTTATATTTATGTAAACCAAGTTCATATTCAAAATTGTGTTTAACAATTTTTAAATAGTTTTCAACAAAAATTGAAAAGTGGTAATTTTCCTCGGCTTTTGTTTTGTACGAATCTGGTCCACTTCGATATTGATTCTTTAAAAAAATGATGTTATTATATTTAATTTTACATTATATTTAAAAATTAATTTAAAAAACAAAAGATACTTTAAAAAGTTTCCATTGATACTCAATATCTAAATTGGTTGGTTTATTGACGATTGATTCGAACATGTATAAACATGTTAAACTAAAAAATAAATAAACTTTAATAATTATCATATTGAAAGTACTAAACAATAGATATTTAATATAATTAATTAATAGTACAAAACATTTTGCAACATATATAAAACTATGAAACTTATATAGTAATTTTATATAAAATTTAGTAATAATAATATTTATGCAACAATTATAAATTATAAGTTTAATTGTTTTTTTTTAATTTTAAAAATGATTAGCTAAAAATTTTAATAAAACAATAATTTTATATGACACAAAATTTTTAGATAGTTTAAAGATATTATCATAATTTAATAAGATAAATTCGTAAATTGAATTTTAATAAATATGTAAAAAATTATATAAATAAATAAACTACTTTTTTCTTTAAGATTATCTATATTAGTGAATTAATTGTAAGTAATATAAAAATCAAACTATTTTGAAATGAAAAACACTAAACGGATATTGTTTATTTAAACTAGATATTTTTTGCATAGTAAGCATTTTTGTTTCTGGAAAATTTTATTTGATAATAAATTATATGCAATTAATTTAAATTCTCTATGTCATTTTGTAGTAATAATAAAATTTATTAAGTAATCACTTTTGTTTAAATATATTAAATTTAAAAGACAAAAATAATATTTTTTAAAATTTATTAAATTTAATAAAAATTGAACTAAAATGTAATTTAAAATATATTTATTAATTATTTTATTATAGATTAGATAATTAAAGATAGTTCTTAATAACTGTTGTTAAATTTATCATATAAGTTAAGTAAATTATTAAAGATAGAAATAATAGTTAATACTATTAATAATAAAAATATTTATTAAATATAAACTAAAAAATTTTATACAATTTATAATTTTCATAATAATTAAAAATAACTTAATTATCATTTATTATTTAAAAAAATAAAGAAAACAATTTATTAGAGAATCAAATTCATACTTTTTATTATTATTATAGTAAAATATAATAAGATACAGTAATATATTTTAATCATTATATATTTATAAAAATATTTAAAATAAATATCACAAAAAATATATAACAAATTACTTATATATAATATATAATAATAAATTATATTTTTAAATGTTTCATTTTCTCATATTTTTATTCAATAGATATTTTAAATTAAATAGATATATTTTTGTATATGTAGTATTGTATATGTAGTGTTGTTGTAAATAAAAAAATTAAATTTCTATAGTTATGTATTTTTATCAATTTTTTCTATCTATAATTAAACGATAATTATATTAGATTAAATTTTTATAAATTTAATTTATAATATTTATTGTTTAGATTAAAATTAATTTTCTATAATATTAAATTTATTATTTTCATTTTTTCAAAAATGGCGGCAAAAGTATATAAAATTTTTGGACAATTAAGAATTAGAAAGAGCAATAAAAATTGTGGCTAACGTATAAATAATTAGGTAAAAATGGCGGCTAGTATAAAAAATTATGTAAATTTCTACGTTTAGAATTGCATAGAGCATAAAAATAAGATTATTTTTATTTTTTCAAAAAGGCGTCAAAAATATAAAAAAACGTTTAGAATTATGTCATAAAAATTAAGATATAATAAATCAGCAAATATATGGCGGCAAGTTTTAAAAATTGAATTTAAAATAGTGTTATGTATGCTAATGTATATAATTTTAAGGTTTATATTAATAGTAAAAGTAATTACTTTATTAGTAGTAATTCAGTAATTTATTTTATAAATCTGTAATTACATACATGGCAAAACTTATTTATTTTTTTCATATTTTATTATTTGATACCTCACATGACTATTTTTTTTTATTTTGTTATACTGAATTATTTGATATCCCAAATATTTATAGTTGTTTATTTTTTCATACAAAACCATTTATACTTCACTAATAAGATTAAATTGTTATTATATATAATAAAGTGCAAACATATTTTATGCCATAAAAGTTTGTTTCTGGCAATGCTTTATAGCATTTTCACTGATAAACAGTTATTTTAACTCTTTTTAATTATCTAATCTATAATAAAATAATTAATAAATATATTTAAAATTAAATTGTAGTTCAATTTATTAAATTTAATAAATTTTAAAAAATAATATTTTTGTCTTAAATTTAATATAATTAAACAAAAGTGATTACTTAATAAATTTTATTATTACTACAAAATGACAGAGAATTTAAATTAATTGCATATAATTTATTATCAAATAAAATTTCCAGAAACAAAAATGCTTACTATGCAAAAATATCTAGTTTAAATAAACAATCTCAGTTTATTGTTTAAATTTCAAAATCTTATAATAATATAGTAAAGGCCATATAATAAAGTCCTGCTAATTTAAAACCAAAATATTCTATTATAATGTTATCTATTTTTATAATTATTAAATCTAGACATTATAAGAATCAATAACAAAATCATACTTGGTAAATTTATCGAGGCTAATGAAAATGATCATGGTGATCTAATCATTATAATCAATCAAATAATTATAAATTCAGCTTTGATGTTTGTTGTCTAACTTTAATTTTAAGATTGGGCATAAAATATTATTATAATTATGGTTTATTTTAGTTTGAATAAAATTATTTTTTATGTTTTATTTTTCATATTTTTTATTTTTTGTATTAAATTTATAAATTATGATTAAAATAATATTAATATTTCTTTTTATACTAATTTTAAATTTATTGAATATTAATAAAAAAACAAAATATTGATTTTTATACATAATACTCCAATTAATTATAATTATTATAAACTAAAATTATAATAAATAATATTTTTTTATTAAATTTATTAAAAGTATTAATTAACCTAATTTTAAAAACTTTTTATATTAAATAAAAATTGTTTTACTTTATTTTAAAAATTAATATATAATTTATTGATTGTTTAATTTATAAAAAAAAGTCAATACTTAAAAAATAAATAATTACAAAATTAGTTTATTAAAATTTATTAAAATTTTTTTATTATTTGTTTAAAACTGTTTATTTAAACTAAAATTTTTACTTGGTAATTATTTTTGTTTTAGAAAACTTTTTGTTGATACTAAATTTTATGCAATTACTTAAAATATAATTTTCATTTTGAAATAATAACAAAATCAATTGAATAATTAATTTTTTATGAAATAAATAATTTGAAAATTTTTAAATCATTTTTATTTTCAATCAATCTTCTATAATTATTGTAGTTAATTTGTACTGAATTTTTTTAAAAAACAGATTCAATATAAATTAGTATTTATTGTTAATAGTAATAGAAATAGTAATTAGAAAATAACATTATATGATAAATATTTAATTTTTATTTAAAAATTAGATTTCAAAAAAATTGATATTATTTCAAAATGATAAGGATAATTTAAAGTAATTGCATATAATTTATTATCAACAAAAATTTTCCTAAAACAAAAATAATTATCATGTAAAAAATTTAGTTTAATTAAACAATCTAAGTTGAATAAATAATAATTTATAATAGTTGCATAAAAATTATGACTAGATTTTTTTTAAAGAAATGTAAAATTTTATATAAAAATCGCAGTCAATTGTTAAGAAATCTACAATAAAAGATTATTAATATTAATTAAAATATTAGTTTAAAAATTATTTTTTTATAAATTTTAATATGATGTTTGTTAAAGTTTGTCTAATTTTTTCTTTAGTATTTTTCTACATTTCTGAATCAACAAAAGAAAAATCATCGAATTTAGACATTGAAACTCAATGGCAGTTATTTAAAGTAAGTTAAATAATAAACTTTTTGTATTTCAAAAAATAACTATCTATAAATATTGTATTATTTTTAAAGAATCAATACAGAACTGGACAAAACTCGTACAAATCAGTAACCGAAGAAAAATTTCGACATACTATTTTTGTTGAAAACTATTTAAAAATAGTCAAACATAATTTTGAAACTGACTTCGGATTACATGCTGATAGACTTGGTGTTAACCAATTCACTGATCAAACTGATGAGGAATTGTATTCAACATATACAATAAACTTCTCGACATTGCCACCATTACCAAAAGAAATCAAATCTTTCAGTCAAATGGATACCGATCCAATTGATCCAAACAGAATATTGCCTAAATATTTTGATTGGAGAGAGAAATATGTTCTAACACATGTTAAAGACCAAGGCCAAGTATATTATATTTTTATTATTTTAATTTTTTAATTTTATTAAATAGTAAATGTTTTATTAATAGTGCTCTTCTTGTTGGGTATTTTCAACTGTTGCTGCTTTAGAAAGTAAGTAATATTATGGTTAATATTTATATTTACTTATTAAATTTTTAGGTCATCTTGCTATGAAAACAGGAAAACTGAATGCTCTATCCGATCAGCAGGTGATAGATTGTACACCAAATTACACATGTAAAAACGGCAATTTTATGGAAACTGCACTACAAACTGTTAAAGCATTAGGTGGTATTGAAACTAATGAAAAATATCCTTATGTTAACGGTAAAATTGGTAAAGTTGGTAATTGTCTAAAATTAGACAAACCAAATAGATTTTTTGCAGATAATTTAAAAGTTGTAAATGTTGCTAGTAATGCACTACATATGCAAATAGCACTGTTAGATTATGGTCCATTAGTAGTATATATACATGTATATGCAAATTTTTTCAAATACAATAGCAGTACTATATATGAATCTGTAGATTGCAATCAACCAATTAATCATGCTGTAACAATTGTTGGATTTGGAGAAGAAAATGGAAAACCATATTGGATAGTCAGAAATTCATGGGGAGCTAAGTGGTGTGACAAAGGTTACATCAAAATTCTGCGAGGTTCTAATATGTGTCGTATTGAGAGTACTCCTAAATATATTAGTAGTTAATTTGTTTTATATATGCTACTTATTTTATTTATATTATTGTTATAATTATAATAAATATAATTAATTAAATTATCAAATAAAATTTAAATTTTACAAATAAATAGTAATAAAAATTTTTTTTAATTAACTTTATAAAAATATATTTCATTTCATTTTATTATAAATTATCATAACCTGGAAATGGTGGTAACGGTTTAACTAAATTGTTTAACTCTTTGTCTGTCCAATCGGCAAAATGATTAATACCCTCAATATTTTGTTCTAAACCTTGTCTAACCAATCGGTTATGTTTAACAATTTTCCGGTAATTTTCTTCAAAAACTGATCGCCGGTACTCTTCTTCAGCTAAACTTTTATATGGTATTGAATTATTGTCGTCTTTTGAACGATATTCTTGCTAAAAATTAATATATATCTATATATTATAATCATTAAAAAATATATAAAAAATAAAGTGAGTAATACACAAACAAACAAAAATTATTTATATTAACACAATTATATTATACTGTTATTTAGTTAAGTGCTTAGATTGTTGTTTTTTTAAAAAAATTTTAGCACAAAATATTTTTAATCAATTATTTTTTTTTATAATTTTTAAAATATTACTATGTTAATATTTGATGGTAATTTTGATGATATTACTATGGTAGTTAAATAAATAATTTTAATAATTTTTTTCAATACTTTAAAAATTTGCCATTGTTTGTCGACATCATTGATATCATCGATATTGTTATTATAATTACTATTACTATAATAACTTAAATGATAACCGTTATCATTATCGTCATCATTATCTGTATCATAATTAGGATAATAATAATTATTATTATTATAATTAATTGAATAACAAAAATAATAGTCAATTAATACAATTAATATGATAAATGACTTCATTTTTAAATTGAGTTTATAATTAATTTTTTTTAATTATATTTCTAAACATTAAAACACAAAAAAACATCTGTTTATTAATTAATTCAAAAATTAATTAACACTAAAGAAATTGATTTTCATATATAATAAATGTATAAAAATAATTTCAATAATAATAGTCAACATTTTTTATTAATAAATATTTATTAAAATAATAATTTTAATTTACTGTTAAATAATATTAGATTATTTAAAAATATATAACATTTTTTAAATTAAATAATTTATTAATAATAATATTATTAATTATTAATAAATTTAAGAAAAAATTTTAGCCAAACAATTATAATTAAAACAGTATTTTTAAAGTTATTTATATCTATATATAATAATATCTCACTATATTAACAAATATATTTTCACTAAGATAAATATAATACATTAGTAATTTATATTTATTAGAAATTAATTTTTTAACTATTATTAAACAATCATTATTAGAAATTTGTAAATTTAAATTTTTATATTTGTACAGTATTTATAAAATCAATTTATATATATTTATATTTTTTTGTTTAATTTTTTGAAAAAGATTACATTTTAATGAACTAATAACAGATAAAATATTTCTCTAAAAAAAAAGATTTTAGTTTAGAAATGTTTTTAATAAATAATATTTTTGATTTATAATTTGATATTAATTTTTTTGATTGTTTTGGTTAAAAATATTTGGTCATTAGTAATTATCTGTTTAATTAATTTACAATATATTAATTAAATGTTAATTATATTAAATAAAATATTTATCAAAATTTGATTTATATTATTTATTGTTAAGATTTATATTAATTTTCTAAAAATGAATTGCAACTAAAAACTTTCTTAAGGTTTATAACTTTTAACTATTTTTTTACTAATAAAACATTTGATTTATTACTTTAGCTATGATAACGCAACTTAAGCATAAAATTGTATTTAAATTAGTAAAAACAAATATAATTTAAAAACAAATAATATTTTTTATAATTTAAACTAATTTATTACATTTTTTACAGTATTGTAGTCAAAAACAAATTTTTTGATACAATAATTAAACGATAGGTTACGTTAGTCTCAATGATTTAAAAGTAAATCCTTATCAATAGTTTATACTTTAAATTAATTATATTTTTAACCAGTTGAGAATTCTAGAAAGCATTTCCATACGAACTCCTAATCCGAATTAAAAATTAAATTAGAAACTAATGCTTAAGTATGACAAAATAAACACTATAGTCAAGTGGGGTATCAAATGACTCTGTATGACTAAATAAATTCAACTATAGAGATGTGGGGTATCAAATGATTCAGTATGAAAAAATTAAATTCAACCATAGTCATGTGGGGTACCAAATGATTCAGTATGAGAAAATAAATTCAACCATAGTCATGTAGGGTACCAAATGATTCAGTATGAGAAAATAAATTCAACTATAGTCATGTGGGGTATCAAATGATTCAGTATGAGAAAATTAAATTCAACCATAGTCATGTGGGGTACCAAATGATTCAGTATGAGAAAATAAATTCAACCATAGTCATGTAGGGTACCAAATGATTCAGTATGAGAAAATAAATTCAACTATAGTCATGTGGGGTATCAAATGATTCAGTATGAGAAAATTAAATTCAACCATAGTCATGTGGGGTACCAAATGATTCAGTATGAGAAAATAAATTCAACCATAGTCATGTGGGGTACCAAATAATTCAGTATGAGAAAATAAATTCAACAATAGTCATGTGGGGTATCAAATGATTCAGTATGAGAAAATTTAATTCAACCATAGTCATGAGAGGTACCAAATGATTCAGTATGACAAAATAAATTCAACAATAGTCATGTGGGGTATCAAATGATTCAGTATGACAAAATAAATTCAACCATAATCACGTGGGGTATCAAATGACATTGACTAAATAAGCATAAATTTTTAATACTTTTGCCGCCATTTTTCATAAAATTAATCCTGATTTATTATACCTTATTTTTGATGCCCTATACAATTCTTGACTAAAATTTTTACCTAATTTTTTTTTACTTTGGCCGCCATTTTCTCTATGTTCCCGAAGAGATATCAAAATTTTAATGCTGATCCCCTATACCTTATTTTTGATGCTTAATCCAAATCTGAAGTCAAAATTTAAAAATTCAATCAAATGCGGAGGGGAGGAAGGAAGGACATATAGAATTCAGATACGTACTCCTTTCAGGAGTTCGTGAAAATACTTTATATAGTAAATAGAATTAAAATTTATGATAAAATATGTTTTATATTATCGTAATTATAAATAGTATATAAGTATAATATACGTATGTTTTATTTATTATTAGAAATAATTTATATATTAATTAAGTAAAATATTTTTATTATATAAAATTCTATAAATTTAATACAAAATTATAATGTTAATAGTTTATCAAACTATATTAATAGTTAATTAGAATTTTAATAAGTTGTTTATTTTAATAATAAAACAAATCAAATAATAAATGGGTTTATTGTTTGCCAAATAGATTCAAATACTTAATAATTTTATATGTCTATTGTTTATATTAATATTAATTTTCTAAAAAAATAAAATTATTACAGTAATAAAATATTATTTATTAGTGTTATTGACATATCAAAAATTTTATAAATTATTATTATTATTATAATAAATAAGCAATTTAAATATTTTAAGATTAAATATCTTCTATGTCTAAATAAAGATAATAATTTTTTATAATTTAAACTAATTCATTACATTTTTACAGTATTGTAGTTAACAACAATTTTTTATACAATAATTAAACGTTAGGTTACGTTAGATTCAGTAATTTAAAAGTAAATAGTTTATAATTTGAATTAATTATATTTTAAAATACTTTATATAGTAAATAGTATTAAAAAAATATTGTAATAAATGTTTTATATTAACATAATTAAATATGATTTGTAAAAAAATTCATATACAGTATAATATAGGTATATGTTTTATTTATTATTATTAAATAATTTATATATTTATTAAGTAAAGTATTTTTATTTTATAAAATTCAATAAATTTAATATAAAATTATAATGTTAATAGTTTATCAAACTTTTATTTGACTACATTAATAGTTAATATGAATTTTAATAAGTTTTTACATAAATTGTTTTTTTAATAATAAAACAAATAAAATAATAAATGGGTTTATTGTTTGCTAATTGATTGAAATACTAAATAAGTTTATATATTTATCGTTTATATTAATACTAATTTTCTAAAAAAAATAAAATTATTACTGAAATAAAATATTATTTATTAGTGTTATTGACATATAAAAAATTTTATAAATTATTATTATTATTATAATGAATAAGCAATTTAATTATTTTATGATTAAAACAATATTATGTCTATAAGTATAAAAAGAGTAAAATAATATTTATAATAAATTTATTAGATTTTAGTGTACAAAAAATTTTTGTTTTTTTTATTAAATTTTTGTTTATATTTATTATCAATCTTTTTTTGTGGTTACATAATGAGAATGTATAATTTGATTGTTACAATATTTATTTTAATAAGTATAATTTATTTATTTATTTATTATTATTTTTTTTGAAATAAAATAAATAAAACTAAAATATTCTAATCTATTTTTTTTACAATTTTATATAATAATTTTTTTATAGATATTTTAACCATCAACGAAATTCAATGCAATCGTATTAAGGCTACTAGAAATCCTCAAACGGGTAGATATTATTGTCCTATTGGTCTAGTATTATGCGTATATGATTGTTGTCCAAAAAACAATGGATGTTTGCGTGCATTTAATGGAGATACTGGTGAAGTAACTGCAGTTTGTGTCGATTATGAAGAAGATTCAAAATAATAATAATAATAATAATAAATAGATAACTTTTTTTAAAAAAAACATTGACACTTTTATAATTAAATTTTATAATTTTCGAAAAAAAAATTATTATACTAATATTTGTTTTACAATTATTTTATTGTTAATTATTTTACAGTGTGTGTGTGTGTGTGTGTGTTTATTATTAATAATAATAATAAATAGATAGCATTTTAAAAGCATGACACTT